TTTATTTATATTTTGAGTATAAATGTTCAATAATGTTATTACAAATGTTATACTTTACATACAAAGTCGACACTACACTAGGGTTTATCATACAAACGAATACATAAGTATTATATTCATGATACTAGATATTCGTGATATTTTACATACTATAAGTACTATATGAAGGAAATACTTTCATATACAAGAACGAATAGACTTTTCATACATAAGTCTATTTGATACTAAGTTTTGTGAGACATTCAACTTCACGTACTTTCAAGTATGTAGTTAAAGTCTTGCATTATATACTATAATCTCTTGTTGGGAAAGCGTGATACTTGTGTATAGATCTATACGGGATTGACAATCCCGCACCTAAACTGTTAGCTATAGTTAGACCGGCAGGTCTGGGATGACAAACGTCATAACATTCCAACGCCTGAAGAACGTTGTTACAGGCAGTCTGGGTCAATAGCATGGTTATAAAACTCACATGGAGTATTAAAAACACATTGATTTACGGGGTTATCAAATGCCTTAGTGATTTTATACATACATAAATCTACTATTCTAGGCATGAAAAACACTATTGCATTAAAGTTTTGGAACTTTTAAACTACCACACACTTATGGAAAAATATTGGATTTCTAGAAGCAAACATTCAGATGAGTCGAGTCTTGGTAGAAGACTACTTTTATACTAGTAGGAAATATGAGATTTTCTAGGAGTTTTCAAACATCTACAAACAATTTCATTCAAATTTATACAAACATTGACATTAAATACTTATGAACTCATTAGCTTAAATGCTGATCTACTCTTTCAAATCTACTTGTATTTCTCAGGGATTCAGTAATACAGGTAAACTTCAGCTTTTGTAGAAGTAACGCTAAGGCATCTGCTTAAAACACATTTTGTCATCTTATTGTAATTTGTTTTGAAACAAGTATCACTCAACAATGTAACTTTTAAATTATATATGTGATGGTTGTTTTACTTTCTTTACTATGTATTCAACTGTTACGATACTACATGAAGTCATCCGCCCTCGAACGATTCCGCCGTTCTGGTTTGGGGGTGTGATAGTTTGCACACCCTTAGCCTATATCAACTCCCTTTTGACCTACAAGTACCCATAGCCACCATTGTTGAGCCTTTGAAGTTTTGTGTTGATTTTTGGTGAGAAGAAGAAGAAGGCATCCATTGTGTGAAGATCCAACAAGCAAGTCCCTCCTCCACTTTCTAGCACATTTTCTGCACCAGTGTGTCTTCAAGTTCCAACCTTTATGTTTCATGCTTCTAGATTAAGGTTTATTTTCATTAATCTTCAAGATTAGTATAGTTTGAGTGGTTGGACTCCATAAAGTTGGAACTTTATGGATACTTAGGGTCCCCTTGTGGATATATGTTCCAAATCTGAAGCTTTATAGAGTCTTTATGTTATGCATGGAGCTTTGGGTCTCTTTTCCTCCATTTTTTACCTAGCTTGAGTTCAAGGCATGCATTGGAAATGCATGCCTACAAAGCAACGATTTTTATGATGTTTGGAGTGTGATAAGGTATTCTAGAGAGTACGAGTGAGTTACTTGAAGGATTAAGAGCTTAATGCATTAAGCTGTCCAAAAAATTTCCCGGGACGTGGAGGTTTAACTCCCATAACGTGGTGTTAGGTGGTCTTCGTGACTATTTTGTCGTGAGGTCATAACAACGTAAAAATGCTTAGTCACGACATGGTGACCGAGTGTTGGACTTTTGACCGTTGAATTTTTGACCAAGTTGACTTTTAGTCAACTGGAGGGTTTTGGATTTTGGATTGAGAATTGTTCCTTGATTATGGTATAGGTGACTCGTAGCACCAGTTCTTGGATTATGTGAGATGTACTGTTATGTGCTAGGTTGCGGAGTGAGTTTTCTCACCATACTTTGTACTGCAGTATGTATCCTTGTGTGTAGGATGTTGGTATACTGTAGTGATCTATTAGATTATTAAATATGTATGATTACATGTGCTTGTGGGTTATTATTTATCTGTTTGCATATGTCGACATATTATGGTAGGGCTGAGGCGGTCCTGCTTTGTGTTATAGGCCAAGATACCGAGGTTGTCCAGTGTATTGTAGGCCTTGCATGGCGATCTAGTCAGACTGTAGGCCATGCGAGGCGGTCCAATAAATTATAGGCTCAATAGAGCAGTCCATGCATCCTGTAGGCCTTGCGAGGCGACCCAGACATACTAATGGCTCATGTGTGCATGCATTATATGTGTATTGTTGTGTGGATATTTTGGGTGAACTCACTAAGCTTTGACTTACAGTTGGGGATTAAAATGTTTTTCAAGTACTTATCGAATGACGCAGACGGGACTCTGCATATGTACATCAACAGTTTTATAATTCGAGGTTCTGTGTTCTTTTCCTTTATAACTTGATTTGGAAATTTGGTCTTTGAACAAATGGGTTTAACTTGGACATATTTACAAAAATGGTTGTTTATTCTAGAGTAAATTACACGAATGGTCCCTATGGTCCCTATGGTTTAGGGTAATTTGCGGGTTTCATCCCTAACTTATTTTTTTAACTCGGAAGGTCCCTATTGTTTGTTTTTATTACGCACTTGGTCCCTGTCTTACCTAAAAAGACTACTTGTCCTTAGTTTTTTAATTTATTTAAATAAACACAGTCCCAACCCCACTCTCTCACCTTACCTTACATACCCCACAAATTTTCCATATTTAAATAATAGTTTTTTTAGGTAAGATAGGGACCATAAATTTTCCATATTTAAGTAATAGTTTTTTTAGGTAAGACATGGATCAAACGCGTAACAAAAACAAACAGTAGGGACCAAACATGTAACAAAAACAAATAGTAATGACTTTCCGAGTTAAAAAAATAAATTAGGGACCAAGCGCGCAAATTACCCTAAACCATAAGGACCATTCATGTAATCTACTCTTTATGCTATTTGAAAATTTATAATTTTATTCTCCAAATTTGGGAGTTACACGTCACATTCTTTGTCATTTTTTTTTATCAACTTTAACATCATTTACAATATCTTAATAATTTGTTTTATTAGTATAGATTTAACTGCCTGATCATTAATTATTTTGTTTGTATTTATGTAAAATTAAAACTTTTATATAAAAACTAGGATTTTACCCGTCATGCGTTACGGCGGCAGTAACAGGTTTAAGTTGAGCTTTGACGATTGTATTGATAAAAGTAAAACAATGTTGCATCTGTTGGTAGATTAATATAGATGGTTGGTGCCACTGACTCTGGTTTATACCGTCGAATGAAACTGAACTCATACATAAGAAGTTAATAATGAAAATCAAATTATACAAAAGTTCAAAGCCGAAGGGGTCAAAGCAATTTTTCAAAGTTTAAAGTCGAAGGCGTAAAGACACATTTTACAAATTTTAAAGCTAAATGAGTCAAAATGACATTTTATAAAGTTGAAGGGTGGTAATTATAGGAAATTATATTATATATACTATCACTAACGAACATGAAAACTTAGAAAATGAAGGGGGTAAAAGTAACTATATAAAAAATGCAAAATCGAACAGTAAAAATGACATTTTAAAAAGTAGAGCAGTGTAAAATGTCATTTTTATTGAATAATGGTTAATAGCAATAAAACATAGGAAAAAAAAAAAAGTAAAAGGAGGGCGTAAAATGTCAATTTATAAGATAATGGTTAATAGCAATAAAAATATAGAAAATAAAGGTTTAAAATGAAAAAAAAGAAAAAATGAAAGGGACGCAAAACTAAAAGAAATAGCCACCAACATTTATCTTAATAGATATAATAATGTCCTATATTGAAATATTTAATTTATTCATCTATGCACATATTTAAAAGTATTATTTTGAGAAATTATTTAATGTTTACAATTTTATATTAAATTTTTAGTTTTAATGAATCTGTGGGCGGTTTTTGGATGGGGGCTGATACTTCCACATCTGTTTTTTATTCATCCACGGATTTTTATGGGAAAATGACAAGAATGCCCCTCATTTATATTTAATAATCTAATTAATTAGGCCTGATTTCTCTTTCATATTTTCTTGGTTGTCTTTTTTTCTTTTTCCCGGCGATGCTCAGTGGTATATTAAGATTCTCACAATCATGGTATCTCATCATCCATTCTTTTCTTCATCCTTGCTGCATCTTCAATCAACTTTAATCTGATAAAAATCAGTACACAAAACCAGTACATGAACATAAACACAACAGTTTTTGCATATATCATCAATGACGGAATCCCAGTCACACGAAATGAGATCGATTCAAATTGGAACAGACAGCCGGACATACGATACATCAAACCACTTCATCTATGGGATATGTTCTCCGGTGAGTTAGTAAGCTTTCACCATCGATTTTTCCATCGCCGTCGATTGAAAATCGTTCCTAGATTTTGGTGATTGGTTCACATTCTTGTTGACCGGAGATAATTCAATGATTAAGTGGTTCTCGCCGATGGGGCTGTAGGTAAATGGTTATTCAAACATCAGTAACCCATTTGTTGCATCGAAGTTTGATACATTTCCAAACGGGATCTGGGTCCAAGAAACTTTAGTGGTGATATTTTGGGATTTCAATATCTAATTTAAAGCTTTGTGAAAACCACGATCCGCCAACATTAAGGAGCCCAGATCTGGTGATGGAAAAGATAATGGCAAGACTTGGAATGACACTAATCGTTATGATTCCATTTGTGGCTGTTCCTACCTTCTCTGCGTGGAAGTGAAGAAGAAAAGAAATGAAGAACACAAGGATTTCATGTCGTGATGGACAGAATTGGGAACCGGGGCTAGAAGAGACTATTAAAGCACATGTCTTTAAATTATTAATTACACTATGGGTATAATTGTCATTTTCCTTTAAACCAACAAAAGAAGATGTACCGAGTCAAAGACAAAAACGAAGCCAGAAGTGAAAAAGAGTTGAGGATGCCCATTAAAAATTAAAGTATGTATATTGTTCGAATTTCTTGAATCCTTCGATGGAGCCTTTCAAGTCGTCTCCATCTTCGTCATCTTCTGTACCAACTGGAAGATGGACACATGAAGTGTTCCTAAGCTTTAGAGGCGAAGACACGCGCAATAATTTTGTAGATCATCTTTATACTGCTCTAAGTCAAAGAGGAATATCTGTGTTTAAAGATGATCAGGCGCTCGATAAAGGGAAACCGATCTCCAGGGAGCTGCTGAAAGCCATTGAAGAATCGAGGTTTGCTGTGGTTGTTTTCTCTAAAAACTATGCGGACTCTTCATGGTGTTTGGATGAGCTTGTCAAAATCATGGAATGCCGAGATCAGATGAAACAGATGGTTTTACCGGTGTTCTATCACGTAGATCCATCCGATGTGCGTGGACAGAAAAATGACTTCGATAGCGCCTTTCAGGAACACGAGGACAAGTTTAAGGGAGAGATGGAGAAAGTGAAAAACTGGAGGAAAGCTTTAGCTGCAGCTGCCGGTTTGTCTGGCTGGCATATCAAGGAAACAGGGAATGGGTTAGTTTTCCAGGATCTGTTGCTTCAATTACTTACAGGCATTTATGAACGTAATTTCTATCATTCTACCAGGTTATTTTGTTACCAATGATAAAGATTTTGTGCAGAACCATATGTTATCTCACTGTATTATGTGCTAATTTATGGGGGTGGTTAAGAGTGCTTTTTGAACTCTAAAAGCACTTTTATAAAAGTGCTTGTTAGTTTATAGTGGTCGTAAAATGGATTTCTGAAAACACGGATTAGCTTTTATGGTTAAAAAGTGTTTGGTTTAAAAAGTGTTTTTTTGAAATTATTTTGGTTAAAAAGTCATAAAGTTTCAAAAAGAAAAGTTTTACATGACTTTTGAAAAGTTTTTTTTTTTTTTTTTTTAAGTTAAAAGTGCCTTTGACTTTGCCAAACATTTTTTTTTTACTTATTAGCTTTTTAAAAAGCCAATAAGCTGTTTCAAAAAGCAATCCCAAACACCCATATATATAACAACCAATTGAATTGCAGTTTCATCTATTTATAGTTCTAATCTTTCTGTATTATGGATTTTCGGCTATCTACCACGATAACCTTATAAGTTATAATTGTATCCATTTACTATTTGACATTCCCAAACTAGTATGTTAACTTGCTTAAAACGGGCAAATATGTAGGGGCGAATCTGCCATCCTCAGGGACATTGTTGCAAAGATATCAAAGAGCATACAACCTCGTGATTTGCAGAAACATCTATTTGGTATCGAGTCTCGGATAGATGAATTATACCCATTATTGGATATGGAAGCAACAGAAAAGGTCCACATGGTTGGGATATTAGGAATGGGGGGAATTGGTAAGACAACTATTGCTCAAGCTTTATTCCGAAGAATTCAACATAATTTTGAGGGTTATAGCTTTGTTAAAGATGTTAGAGAAAATAGTTATAGTAAAAAAGATGTATGTGCCTTGCAACAAAAAATTCTAAGAGAAATTTTAAAGCAAATGGATCCTGCTGGTAATGTGAGTGTCTCTTATCCAACTGTTGATCCTGAATACGGAGCCAACATGATACGTGAACGATTTTGCCATAAAAAGGTTCTTCTAGTTCTTGATGACGTGGATAATAGTGAGCAGTTAGAGTTCCTAGCCAGAACACATGAGTGGTTTGGTCCTGGAAGTAGAATCATTATAACGACTAGAGACGAGCATTTGCTATCAGATGCAAATGTCATCTACAGGCCTGATTTTTTAAGTATGAATGAAGCTGCTGAGCTCTTCTGTTGGCATGCTTTTCGGAAAAGTAGCCCTCCTGAAGCATATGAGGAGCTCTCAGATCGTGCAATACGCTATGCTAGCAGCCTTCCTCTAGCCCTAAAAGTTTTAGGCTCATTCTTCCATGGAAGGCAACTAAGTGTGTGGGAAAGTGCTTTAAATAGACTACGCAAAGGATCAATTGATAAGATTCATGAGACACTGAAGTTGAGTTTTGATGGACTGGATGCTTCTGAGAAACATATATTCCTAGACATTGCATGTTTCTACAAGGACCAATATGAAGAATATGTAACTAGAGTACTCGATAGCTTTGGTTTTGACCCGGTGATAGGGATTAGTGTTCTTATTGAAAAATCTCTTATAACCGTTTCAAACAAAAGGCTACATATGCATGATCTCATACAGGAAATGGGTTGGCAAATAGTTTATGAGAGTTTCCCGGATAGCAGGGTATGGAAACCTGAACATATTCGTAAAATCGTCAAGGAAAAGAAGGTAACATAATCACTATCTTTTAAAAGTTCTTTTTTTTTTTTTTTTGCTTTTCATGTATGGTTTTCGAATGGGTACGATTTACTTACTGTCTACTTTTTTGTAGCAGAAGCTAAAAGCAATAGAAGCCATGATGATGGTGGACAATGCATGCCATGTTGATGCCTATGTTTTTGAAAGCATGCAAAATCTTCGGTTGCTTGATATTGATGGGAAATTCACTTCTACCCAACCTAGATTTCTCCCTGATGAGTTGCAATGGCTTTGTTGGACCAAGTACCCATTCTGGACTCTGCCTTTAACAGATATGTGTAAGCTTGTTGGGCTTGAAATAGCCGGTGGAGGCATGAAACAACTATGGAAGGGACGAAAGGTATTTAGCCAATGAAGTCTGTTTCTTTTTTTCCAATATAGTTATTTACATTGATAAGCAAAGGTTTCTATTTGTATTGAATGCAAAAAGATCTTGATATTAATTATTTTAATCAATTTCTGTTTTACTTTCAGATTCTACCAAACTTGAAATCTATCCACCTCGAAGGCATGGACAAGCTCACATCATTTCCAGATGTCTCCGAGTCTCCAAATATCGAGAGGCTAATTTTGTCAGGTTGTAGGAGTTTAGTGGAGGTTCATGAGTCTCTTGGATCTCATAGACGGCTGGTCTACCTGGACATGAATGGTTGCAAAGGGCTCAAGCGTCTCCCATCCGGTCTTGAAATGGAATCCTTGGAGAATCTAATTCTCATTGGATGCAAGAGGCTTGAAAGATTCCCAGAAGTCTCCCCATGTATGGTTAAACTATCACAATTAGATCTTTCTTTTTGTTCTAAAATAAAGGAACTGCCATCATCAATCAGATATTTGTCTAGCCTAAGCCTCTTGAATCTCACAGGGTGTTCGAATCTTGAGAACATACCAAACTCTATTTGTGAGTTAAGGTGTCTTAAATTCATTTCTCTTCACAACTGCATGAACCTGAAAAGTTTTCCAAATGAGCTTGGAAGCATGAGAATGTTAGAAGAGCTGTGGCTAGGATTTATGTGTGATATTGTTAAATGGCCACATATGTTTGTTGGCTTTCGTAGTTTGACAAGTTTGTCTTCTTTGAAAAACCTAAATCTAAGTTGGAGACAAATTGAAGAGGAAAGTTTCCCCCAAAATCTTGATGAATTATCCTCCCTGGAAGAATTATGTTTAAGTGGCAACCATAAATTAGTCGAGTTACCTGCAAGCATCTGCCATCTTTCTCGTCTTAGACGCCTAGAGGTGAATGGGTGCTCCCGACTTCAAAGACTGTGTGGGCTCCCATCAAGCATACAAGTATTGAAGGCAAATGATTGTATCTCACTGGAAAAGATCGGAGATCTATCAAAAGAGGGTGACTGCTTGTATAAGATATGGCTGGGTCATAACCAGAAACTCTTAGAGGATGAAGAGAATCAAAGATACCTTGATAAGATGCTGCAACTATCTTTCATTAAGGTGGTTCATCCCTATCTTTCTAATATCATTTAATTTATTTAGGCTGCTCGTGGGTCTTTTTTCACGCAATATCAGTCAATACATGTTTTGTTATGTCCTAGCTAACGTAGGCTTTCTGCTCCCCATATCTTGGAAGCAACTTTTATATTGTTTAAGAAAGCATGATTGTTTTGGTTAATTTACAGAAATGCGCTGCTGTAAATCATCGATTAACTATTACTATCCCTGGAAGTATGATTCCAAGCTGGTTCGAAAAACAAATGGACGGGTGCAGAATAGGACTGGAGTTGCCTCAAAAATGGCATACTGAGATCATGGGTTTCGTGGTATGTGGCGTGTTTACTTACCAGTGGTGGAGATATAGGCATCCGCGCATCATCTTCAGAATTACAAAGGATGGAGCTGCCATTCCTAAGCCGGAGGTTAATGCAACTGAAACAGCCGAGAATACAAATGTGTGGATTAGCTATATCCCGTTGGATTTCTTTCAGCAGATGTACCATGATATTCAACCTGAAGACTGGTCTCATATTCAAGGTAATCTTGACATGACTGTAACATCAGTAGATGGCACAGAATCAGTGAGATGTGGGGCACATGTTATCTACAAAAAAGATGTTCAACACATTACAACTTTTATCTCTGATTACTTGGACGTAGTGCATGTTGATGATATGCATCTTCGATATGATGAAATTATATCTGGCAACACTCGCGTTTATGAAGAAAAGTTTGATATGAAGAGCTTGATGCCTTTAAGAAGTAGAACCTCAGCAAGGCGCAACACGGAGCACATATTTTGTTTCAAACCGTCTTACTTTGATGTTGGTATCTTGTCCTTTTATTCCAAGGTTACCTCTTTTTTTTCACTATCAGATGTTTTGTCCCTGTCTTTCAATATACTCTTTTTTTTACTCGTTGGATTGGAAATGGTAACTTCCTAGTTATGTTAAATGATATTCTGAATCGTGATAATCCTATTACTGATTTTGGAATTAGGAATGCTAATGTGAGAAAAAAAAAAAAAAAGGAAAAAAAGAGTGTTGATTAGTGGTTTTAAATTTACAATATCTCTACTATTATACAGTACATATTTAATAGTGGGTCCCAAAGATTTTAAGACCAAAGTCATAAACCAAGGAGATGAAATTTGGGGTATTGGATTAAATTTGAATGGTGAAGATTAAAAGCTGATAAACCTTGTGAATACAAGTTAAACAATGAAATGAAGAAATTAAGCTTACAGCATCTAGAACAACTGCTTTAAGCATTAGGAAACACAACATTAGAGAAAACCACAAGTCACATGGTTCCTCTTTTACGAGGTCACCCTCCGATGATTGTATTGATTTTTCGTGATCAAATATTTAATGTGTTTCATGTAAAAATTCTTGTTGCAAAAATGTTTATTCCTCATCAGCTTACATACCATTTGTTGAATTTCCAGGCCAAGGATTTTTTGCTGTCCACTATTCGAAGAAAATGATACAAATAACAATTACAGTCGACAAAAGTAACAACTGTGATTCCTTGAGGCTGAAAGCAAACTTGAAGATAACTATCCGTATATTTAAGTTGTTCTGTCCAAAATCCAGCGAGTACACTACAAGACTGTCTTACATAGGTCGAGGAGGCTGTAAGAAAACCCCAAAAGTATACTTAAGAATTTATACTATATGCATTTCAAAGTACTATATTCCTGGAATTTTCAGTTGCTTGTTTTATATATAAAACTAAAGACGCTTGTTCTGGGAATCCCAATTTCTTTCTTTTTTATGTTTAAGAGAATCTGTGTATTGAAGATGATATGTGCTTTGTTTGAAAGAAGCTATGTAATAATGAATATCGTATATGTGCTTTGCTTGAATGAAATTATGGAGTTTCCTTTGTTTTCTTTATGAGGGAAGTGTGTGTGTGTGTGTATATATATATATATATATATATATATATATATATATATATATATATATATATATAAGTTATTTTGTTTAAAGTATTTATTGTGTTATTGTATACATAAATGTGAACCAATCAAATTTACTTATTTTAAGAAAATGATTAATATATATTATTGAATTAAATATAATTGAAAAAATCATCTAAATTAATTACAAGGGTAATTTAGTCAATTAATATAGATTTAATAAAGGAAAATTGCAATTTTTTTAAGGGACCATAGATTCGATTAATTTTAAAATCTGATTTTACGAATTATAATTTTTTTAATTCGGATATTCTGACAGAATATGTTTATGAGTACATTCAAAAATAAAAATATTCTTGAACCATAAATAATAAAAATATTCTTGAACCTATTCCTTGATGATGAAACTTCTTGTAGAATAACAAAATCTTGAACAATCAATTGAAGAATAAAAACAAAAAATACATTATTTCTTATAGAATACGGATAACAATTGTTAGGAATTACATTTATTGTTAAAGAATAAAACTTAAAAAACAATCAAAACGGGGAAGAAAAAATCACAATCTAACAAAGACTAATACATTCTAAAAGAATAATGTGGTCCGTTCTTCAAGCGTCAACTTCTTTGATTCCAACAGAATTGGAATTTGGCATTCCATTCCAATATAATTGGAATTTCACCAATATCATCCATTGAATCATCTACATAAACATACTTGATACCTTTTCAGAATTCAACCATGTTAAAATCTTGCACTCTCCACATAAATGAAGTGTTAAATTAGGAAAAAAAAAACATAAATTGAAATATGAATCAATTCATAACCAAGGTTGAATTTGAAAAAAACAAACTTGTTCTTGCTACCTGTATAAAATCAAAATGAAAATTTGTTTTGGCTTCAAAATGAAAAATTGTTCCTGCATAAAACAAAAATCATTTACTTTACCAATATTTCGTTTCATATAACAAATCAAATGGCTTATTATACCTCCATCTGGTTGATACCTATCGAACAATCAAACTACAAAGAATGAAAGAGTAAAAACATACAATTATTAGTCTTAAGTTGGATAAATCATAAAAAAAAAATGCTTCCTAGAGTACCGTTAAGCTATACGATGCTTTCACTTCACCAATATTTCTAGCTATGATTGTGGCAGTCCCGAACTGAGTAAGAGCTTCAAAATTTAGGATTGTGATTCTTTCAATTTTTTCAGGGCTCCTACAAACAATATACAGTAAAAACAAAGGTTTTTATATGATATATATGCATTTATGATTATATGTGCATACTCTTAATTACCTGCTTCAGAAACCAAGTGTTAGAGCAGCTGGAAACATTGTTAATGGACATGGGTTCACAACACTTTATATTCTTGATCATTGTCCACAGGATCTTAGTGCACTACAAATTCGTAGTTTGCTTATCGAAGCCAACTTTCTGAGATCTAAAGACGTAAGTCATTCCTTTAGACCATTTCAAAGGTCAACAAAATCAAAATCCTCAAAACCAGTTGCCAATCCGGAAAGCAAGCCTAAAGAATGTATGTCAAGAGTATGGAACTGGTATATAAATCACAATGGAGATTGGTTGGAGAAACAACGTGGGATTTTGATTCTGGAAAAGGATGAAGACAGAGTGCATACATCTAAATGAAGTTTCAAATCACAGACTTGAAGGATTCGACAGACGAGCAGTCAAAATAAGAAGAATAAAAACCTGTTATAAATCGGAGCTACACTTCGCTTCTTCTTCTCGTCGAACTTCACAGCCTCCGTCTCCCATTCGCAACCGGCCAAATACCGACGACCTCCTTTGCCCTCACTCTCATTTCTCTTCTGTTTCTATTAATCAAAGAACTCCGAAGATCTTGTCTCGTCGATTACCAATACCGAAAACACAACCTCGGCTTCTACTATTCGACAGCAGCCACAAACGATTGCCTTCGTCCATATTTGCCCGATCAACAGGAACAAGGCTTTAAAAGCCCTAATCATTTAAGTGGATCCACGATTATAGGGATTATTTTTGGTAGTTACTAAACAAGTTACTATATTACCCTTATTTATTTATTTAACTATTTAATTTTTTATTTAATTTTGATTGGCCCACATTTATGTATACAATAACACAATAATTAGTTTAAACAAATGAACCTAGCTCTCTCTCTCTCTCTCTCTCTCTCTATATATATATATATATATATATATATATATATATATATATATTATATATATATATATATATATATATATATATATATATATATATATATATGCTATGTTTTGGAGTTATTAATTGTCTGAGATTAATTTGATGAAACAGGCGACTGTTGAGATGTAATAAGGAAAAACACATCATGTCTCATATCACTTTCATGAATTCCTTTTGATAATAGTTTAACTTTATTGTGCTTATAAATTCATATAGTTGAAATTTACAAATATATGCTTTTTTTAAATATAATAATAACATTGTTAAATTTGATATAATAATTCGTATATCAAATTAATATAATATATTGATTATTTTTAGTTATATCATAATATATACATTCATTATAACTGTATAATCTCAATCGTTTGAATGACTTCTACTCATAAGTTACATATGAATAAAATTAAATATAATATATGGTTTAATGTTATTTATAGTTGTTATTGTTAATTAATTTTTTAAAATTTATTTGCTTAATGTTTTAATTTCTATCATTATAATTTTTTTTAAATATCAAACATTGTTTTTTGATTTTAAAGGTAACAATATAATCATTTATATAAAGTTATTTTTAACTATTATTATTGTAAGTTATTTAAGCTATTTATTTGAAAACTTTTAACGATTATAAAAATATATTTAAGAAATATTTTAGTTAAATTGAGATTAAAATTTAGTTTTTGCATTTATCACTACAATTTATCACTTTTAAATATTTACAAAATATTCTTTGGTTTTTTAAGTGGAACTGAAATTTATATTTAAGTTGACATTGTAATGTTATATTTAAATTAACAATGTAAGCATTTTGTCCAAACTATTCAAAAGTTGTAGTTTTAAACTGATAATTGTTTACATACAACAACATATTAAATCTAATAAATTAAATATAATATGTTAAAAGTTAAAGACATAACTTTATAAGTAGAAGTGAAAATATTATTTTAAAATTGAAATTTAGTTTATTTATGATTATACTTTAGGTTTGATATTTATTTAAACTTATTAACCAACTTATAATCATTATTAGAAAGACATTATAATTTATCACTTTTAACTATTTACAAAATATTATTTGGGTAGTTTAAGTTAAACTAAAATTTATATTGAAGTTGTCCCTGTAATGTTATATTTAAATTAGTAATTTAAATATTTTATACAAATTGTTCCAAAATTGTATCTTTAAAATGATAATAATTTACATCCAAGAATATATTAAAATTAATAAATTAAGTATAATATGTTAAAAGTTAAAAAACATAAGTTGATAAGTAGAAGTGAATATATTATTTTAAGGGTTTATGGAATATGTGGCTGTTATGTACCTAATATTAGATATAGAACCATCAAAAACTATATCGTTTTAACAAAGTGCAATTAAATCTCTCTACCATCTTTCTTATATTCTCTATTAGACTAGATGATAGGCTTTGTACATATTTTTATGGAGTTTTAAATATTTACTTTTGCAACACAAACCATGTATAAAAATACATTATCAACTACCTATAAATCTTCATATTCAAATTTAATATGGAAAACCATAATGAAATATTGAAATTGTTCATTAAAAACTCAATAAACTTCTTCCCATAACACATCAAAAAGAACCATGCAAGTATCTATATGGTAGGTGTCAAAGAAAGTTATGAAGCCTACTAAAGGTTTAATATAAACAACACATTCAAAATACATAGATGTTGGAGATAAATTATGAAATCAGAAATAATATGAGCTCAAAAGCAATAGGAAGAAGCTAACAATGAAAAAACTTGTGTTTTTTTAATCAAAATGAAGTCAATTTTGATGGTTCTATACCTAATATTACATACATGACAGCCACATATTCACTTTTCCCTTATTTTAATATTGAAATTTAGTTTATATACAATTACACTTTAGGTTTGATATTTATTTAACCTAATTAACCAAATTATTATTATTATTAGAATGAAATTGTAAAGTCATGCAAGTTTCAAATAAATGTGGTGAAAGGAAAAATTCTTCCTTATATATATATATATATATATATATATATATATATATATATATATATATAGTTAAATGTTGGGTTAATGCCATAAAAATCCTTAAATTTGCAAGTTTTTGTTGTTTTTGCCTAAAGTTCAGTTTTATGTTCATTAATGCCTCAAATTTGCATAGATTTTGTCATTTTGGGACTTCTATCCGGTTTTCATTAATTATCTATAGTAAAATGTTGGTGTAGTGCCATAGAAACCATTAAGTTTGCAAGCTTTTGTTGCTTTTCCGAAAGTTCAATTTTAGGTTTGTTAATGCCTCAAATTTGCATAGATTGTCATTTTTGGACTTCTATCCGGTTTTCCGGTCACTAACTATTTACATGGCGTTAACTGTTGATGTAGCAACTGATGTGTGACGTGGCATGCCACGTCAACATAGCATGTAGAGAAGAAAATTTAAAGCTTACGGCTGAGCAAATGAAGCAACAAAGGCTCGAACTCACATCCTCGAGTATATAACGCAAGCGCCTTACAACCAAGCCAAGCAAAACTTCATGTCTTTCTAATAATAATAATAATAATAATAATAATAATAATAATAATAATAATAATAATAATAATAATAAAATGAGGAATGCATCAGTTTCATTTTATATATAAATATATGAAAGAAAAAAGAAAGGCATGTAAATTCGCTTGGCTCGATGGTAAGGCGTTTACCTTGTGTGTTATAGCTCGCGAGTCCAAGCTTTGGCTT